CTTCGCCGTGTGCACTCATGCATGGTTTACTGCTCTGCGGAATTTCCTGTGACTAGTGCATTCCATGTAGAATCTGTACATAAAACGCATTCGTACTATCTCCGTGTGAGTGGATGTGTAACATGAGGATTAACTATTGCAAATTCCAAGGGATTTTCTGTGCTTTGCAAAGTAACCAATTGCATTATAGGATATACTCGCTGTAATTTTCAGATTGTTAAAAAAAAAGTGAATCGTTAAACGTTGCGATATTCAATCGAATGATTACAAAATGAAGTTATTTTATAAATTGCACGTTTTAGCTTGTAAAATATCGGAAATTGTACGAAATTAAAATTGAAAGACACCTTGAAGATTTATATATACATTTATATTACAAGAACAAGCAATAAGTTCTAAGTACATTTAAAAAGATTCTATTTAGGTAAATAACTTGCGACACTTACGTTAATTTACAGTAGACTAATTGTTATATTTGAACAAAGCCTCCGGACGTAGGCAAAAAGCATCTCTTGGTAAGGACATTATATAACAATTCCATTTTCTTCGAGATACGCGATATAGATCTATATTATTTTCGGCATTAGAAACATTATATTTGAAAATCACCGCGGTATACTCTATCATATTAGGACGACGACATTTGAAATTCGGTTCGTTAAAAGTTGAATAAAATAAACGAATAGTCGAAAACAATGTTCGATCCATGCCTCCCTTCTTCGCTATCCGCGGATCGCTTTTAACGAGGAAAATTTAATTATAACTTCGAAGGCGAGATCTCTCAGCACGGCTTGTTAAAATGAACAAAGTATCCTCTATCGCGTATACACAGTCTTATACACGGTCATTCTATAAAGTGTAATTTTACAAATCCCGGAGGGAACACGCATAATCTCTTTAAACAACGCGGATTATATTAACGCTATACTTGTAACAGACGAGCCCGAGGAAAAACATGTCTCGTCCATTCTGTGGTTTGCTGCTAAATAAGTATCTATTACTGTGCGCCGCGGTTAAGACCCACATATCTCCTTGCAATCCCATGAAACTCATTAAAATTTCATGATTGTTTTCCAACATAAGAAATCTATAAGAAAGCAGATTCAAGAAATTTTCAAGAAATACATTAAAAAATCATAAAATACGATATTTAAAAGTCTAAAGATTCACAATTTGCATAAGAATAATCGATATCTGACTTTATTCTATATCTTCTTCAACTTTTTTACATAAAGGCGAAAAGATTACCACGTTAATAAATTACCCCCGAGAGTTGAAGGCGATGGCTAATCGAGTTAATAGCGTAACGCAAATACGTTCTATACGTTAGTCGTGAAAAGGCAGGTAAGGCGAACGCTGCGGAATTTCAGTCGTGAACTATTTTACGAGAGGGGTTGTGCAAATGTTTTCGGTTCCTGTTTCAGTCTTCGATTTGCCGGCGGCAACATCCCTCGCGTACAACATCGCGGTGTCACGTGGCAGGACATCGAAATTGCGCCATTAATTTAACGAGAGAGAGAAAGAGAGAGAGAACTGCCACACATTTTCCCTGTAATTTCCAGTCAGGTATTGCCAGAGAACAGAGGAAAGCTTATGTCCCGTAAGCTTCGAGGCCCGCGAGGCGCGTGTCGCATCAATTTCCTCGGTCAAATAATTTCATTATTTTGATTCTCGCCGAAGGGAAACGCTAAATAATGACGATGGTATCGTTAATAGTACCGCAAGAGGATACGGAAGCTCGGTGTTGTAGATATTTGTTTATTCCGTACAATATTGATACACATGTTACAATTTTGGAAATCATAAATTTTTATTTTATATCTGGATAATATTTAGTATAGGAAATATTAGTATAGGGAAAATAGTATATACTGACATTACGGAACGATAACAGTAATAATAACAATAATTATCATGACTAATGATACGCTATTACAACAATTCTCATTAAAATTTTGCTCATTCGATCCGATCTTATATAAGCTATAATCATCGTTGATTGTGAAATAAACGGAGCCCGCAGTGACGCATAAATTGTGAGAGCGCGCTTGCCGATAAAACAAAATCTCTTCCATCTTTTGCTTATCAGCGTGTCGGCTACATCGATCCATTTTTCTTCTGGACCCTTGCGTAATGACGCTGAAAGGGTCCGATCGACTAAACTATACCGTCGTCTGCGTTTGACAACGTCACGAGCTATAACGTAACGCGCAATCGATTGTATCCTATACCATGTAATTCAGATACCAAATTAAATAAATAATATTAACTTTAATGACATGTATCGTTCCTATAAAAGATTTGATATCATGTACTGGCGCCAAGTTAAATTCTACTATTAAAATAAAAAGTAAAACCCAAGTGATACTATCTTTATTATTTATTTAATCCAAATGATACTATCTTTAATTTTTATACAATGAAACCTAAGTATACGTGTATCTTATTGAAGAATCTTCCTATTCCAATCCAAATGGTTCAAATTCTTCTTAAATGAAATTATTATATCACAAATTATTTAAAGACATTTTCTCTTCCAATTAAAGTAGTGGTTATTTAATTCTCCTTCAAAACATTATACAAAACACTATCACAAAATTGCGCTACCTTGTTCCATTTAATTGTTACCACAAAAAATTAAAGAATTAAAGTATAAAATGAAAAAATTTAATTTAAATAGAAAAATTTTTCATGTAAAAACACTTGGCGCTGGCTAGATTATACCACAATGAACAAACTACATAGTTATACTTACATTAATTAATTAACTATGTTATACTTACATTAATTAATTAATGTAAGTATAACGCAACATTGATTAACTCCTCCGCGATCATATGACTGTAACCTCACTTGTAATCTCTGCAGAGTGTAAAATGTGTAAAATGTGCAGAATAATGCAGAATCGTCGCAACATTCGCTGACCATGTATATATTGCTAGAGCCACATTTGCCTCTTGTACCAAAAATTCCAAAAGGACATTTCCTTCACTCCTTAGCGGCAACGATGACGACGTATCTTAAATCTGAATCTGAAAAGTTACAGATTCGGACTTTGCGTCGCAATATCTCCGCTCGTAGAGCACGTAGAAAAAAAATAAAAACATTTTTATTATACAATCCGAGCGGTAGCTATCGATTGAGCGTATAGAACTTGATCAGCCGTTATTGAGATCCGATAATCTCGATCCGGCGCAATTCGCCGGTTCGCGTAAAAGAGCCACGGCAGTGTCTCTCGCCATGCTTAGTGCCAAGACACTACCGTGTCTCCAGATCCAATCGAGAATCAACAGGCTTGGAATTATTATTTTAATTAATTCGCTTTGTACACACTAACCTGCCTTTTAATCGTCGTTCGTGTTTTAAATCCGTGGCACGTGAGTTAGATTAGAGAGACGGAGGATTCCCGGCCCGAATTCACCATGCAAAAAGTGTGTAGCGCGTTTCCGTTTTCTCGAATCTTTCTTCCCTCCCATTCGCCACCCGCTCTCTCAGAGATGTTAAAATTACTTCCATTTCGCCGCAGTGCGATCACGCTCGCGAAACGTAATCGCGCCGCTTCGCAATCGAAGGCACGTTCCGACGAGCGTGCCAATGTTCATAAAAATGTTCACGATGTCGCCGGAACTTTAAACCGCCGTCTATTATTCCGACGAGGGATAGACGAGCCAACCGAAAGTTTCCCGATAAATCATCACACCGAGGCTGAAGAGGAACGAGGGTAGAAAGCACGAAGTCGCGAAAGCAATAAATATTAATAGCGAATGGTTACTGCATAATCGATCAGAACTTTTCCAGAGTCATTCCCCTAGTTGAAACAACCCCGTCGAATATGTCCGCGTATACCGGATGTTCCAGATTCTCGCATTCTTTTTCACGCGTTCATCTTTTGGATAAAAGTGTACTTTAAAGTATCTCCCAATGAAAGTATCACAAAGTGCCGTAATATTTGACTCGTAAGTGATGGAAGATTATAGCAGAAAATCAAGTTCAAACTGTTTCCATTGATTTCAAATTAGTGTCGTGTAATTATTTTTATAGTTATATATATATATAAAATACATTTACGATAGAATATTTTAAAATAAATCACACTCGAAAGAATTTAAAAATCACACGATCAAAACTACTAATTGTAAAATCAAAAATCGAGCTAATCGAAGAAAAGAAGTCACCGATAATCTGGAACACCTTATATATAGTACGACAGACTTGGTGCAAGAAGCGAGTTACACTAGGAAACCTTTTTAAGTCGCCCTTTGTTCATTCCGTCGGGGGAAGAAACAATTACCGGACTTTTTAAACACCCTAGCCTGACGCGATCCCGGGTCATCGCTCGTAGTTGAAGAAACGTAATTATCAGGGAAACCGTGCAAGAAGCTTCTCGTTTTGTCGCGAGTAAAACAATGGCTTTGTATGGCTGCAGCCATGCGTTCGCGGTAAAGTAATTGTTCCAGCATTAGCGTCGCCCGGTGCATTTTACTACAAGCGATTAGTTTGCTCGAATGCCACATTAACGATAATTATTATCGTCATTATCAACGGATTGAATTAAGAATTCAAGCATACTTTCTTTATTTTCGAATCGTTAAACGAAACTGAAACAATTATTTCCTTTTTTCTGAACGAAACAAGGCGTTTTACGAAGGTATAAATTTAACTATGTGATGGTTTCTTTGACGGTTCTACGAATTTGAAAGTCTAAAGCATATTACCTCTTCATGCCGAAAATAATTAGCTACGTGAAATAATTAGCTACAGAAGCTAAGCGTAATTATATCAAGATTTTATTAACTTGCTGCCGATCGCATTTTCCACCACATTTAATATTTATCCTTTATTTAATTTCTCATTATGCGTTATACACTCGTATTTTATATTTTCACACATTCTCGTACATTTTACGCGTGATTTACATAGTGTGTTCTCACGCCGTTGTATTCGCACCCGGTACAATATTATTATTCATGAGGTATATATATATATATATTATTATATTTGAAATCGGTATCATTGAAATTACTAATGTACTGAGTTTACGATGACTCGATAAATATGTATAAGCGTTACAATGTGTATATCGATATTACAAACTAATGAGACTGCAGTGAGTTTAATGCGAGATATTAGTTCAGAATTGTGTTTAATCATAATATACACCGAACACACAGCACCATGCGTATATGTGATTGTTTTCAAACACGTGATACGAGTAATTATCACGTTCCACGTCCCAGAGACACTGGAAGGCCGTGTGCATACTTTGTTGGAAGCGCTGGATTATGTATACTTGCGTCACTATCTTGTATCTAGGCGCAAACACAATCGTGTCTCACAAACTAAACAAATATTCTTACACGGCTTATCGGGCTGGATTATACGCCTAATAATAATTTTTCCAGGCCTTATACAATTTTTATTAATTTTACATAATCGTTATTAAACTCTCGTTCGATAACCATAATGTTGATATTTATTTATGTTATACACATATCATTAATTATTTGTTTGGCAAAGATAATGGTATTTCATTCAACGCGTAAAAGGAATAAATTAGGTAGACATTTCGATGTACATGAATACAACAGCGATCCATGTCATCTTTTAAAATGTAGAAAATGAGGGATACTTGTAATTTTTATAAAGGATCGCAGTAAGAAGGTGAGAAAAGTGAGACGGAAGTAAGCAGGGAGAAGTGGAATTCAATCTGAAATAAATTTCCATAATTTCAATACCTGTCGTAATCCTTCTTGCAGACAGCCTTCAGCACGTCGCTAGCAATTTCCAAACACAATTTTGATGTCTGATCTGGCTGGTATGATGTAATCGCCGATAATTTGATCTCCATTACGTCACGAACGATCTTGTCGACCGCCACTGCGTGAAAAGCTCTGAACGGTTCCAGACGATAGGTGTTCTGATATCTCGGGATCTGACCAGATATTAAGAAGCGCTGTACCAATATTGTCCGCAAGGACGGAACTTAACGCGACAATAAATCAGTTTAGTAAAGATTCAACGACGATAATAAATGAAATGGCCGTGAAAACGACTGCGCCATATTACAAGAAGATACCCGTGTTGAAGAGTCATAGGTAAAATATGTGATATGGGAAAGACATACTTAATAAGATAAAATTTCAAAGTTGTACTAAAATTTTGGCAGAGCTAATCAGAATCGCAGATTTTTCCAAAAATTATAGAACAAAATTTTTATCCCATTTTCTTTTTTTTTGAAAAATCTCATTACGGAGAGAAGCGAGGCGATTCGCCTGGCGCATCGAGATTCACCTGTATTAAAACTTGTTCATTTTCTGCGCTCACTCAATTTATTTGCGTCCATCCAATTTATTCCACCGCGCTGGATGGAGAACGTACCTTAAGTCGATCCCCACGCTTGTGAAAGAGTATGCCGGCCCCATTGAAACCAATCATGGAAAGCTTCGACAGCGTTTTTCTTTTGGTCTGACTCTGTATCCGGAAATAAGAAACACGTACCATTTTAGATCCCATGGCGATACTTCGTAACGCTCGATATAACGCTCGGTAAAAAGAAAAAGATACATAAAAGCGGTTTCGCATAAATTTCTTAGATCCTCTGATTGATTTGAATATTTATAGCGCTCACTTTTGCGCATCTCAGAATATTAAATCGATAAGGAATACATATTGTATTAAGAAGCAGGGAACGAAAATAAGATGGATGCACCAGCATATATGAATATTATTTTCAGAGTCGACACTTTCAACTATCGATTAAATTTCGAATCAAGAGAAATTAATGATACCTTTAGCATCTTTCTGTAATGGATATATTGTCTTTGACAAATATATATGATATTTATAAAATTAATAACCTGACGTACCATATTTTTTTTGCTTTTGCATACATTTGGTCACATTTACCTCTAAATCCGTTGGCACTTTTACACTCAATCTTTGGACCAGACTCTGCCATAATTTACTCTTTGATACGGGCACCGAAGCATCTTGTTTACTTTGGTGTTTACTCATTTTAAGTAGTCTCCAGTGACAGGTGACATAAATGAATTGTGCTCTAGAGGAGGGACCGTCGAGAATGGCGGCACGGAACAAAGGACGCTCATCAAAAGAATTTCAGCCGCGTTGCTGAAAGGAGGAAATTATTGCAATCTCCGTTCTTAGTTTCGCGAGCAATTTCGGCAAATAATTACGTGCGCTACGCCGTCATAAATCCTGCCGCAGAAACGTCCGCGCGTAGTCTACGCCGTTCAAATAGAACTGACAGAATTTCTAAATGTTCTCTGTTAGATGATCCTTTAATTTTATTGATGTTTAATATCGATCTCAGAAAAATATTAAATTAATCCGAAGATGGAACAAGCCGGTCCTAAATAATTAAGTTTAAAGCAGTGTCTAATTAATTACTATAAATCCCCAAACTGATTCGATTCGTAGGAGTTACAGGAGAGAATGGTCCCAGACAGTACAGAATATTTATGATAAATATTTATTATTATTCATTTTTTGAAATGTTATATAAATATTTTATACAGATTTTTTATATAAAGCTTTATTTGAAATATTATTAAAAGATAGACTAAATATTTAATATTTATGATAAATATAAATAAATATTTCTATTAAGTATTTTTTATTTGAATTAATAATGTCTTGTTAAGTATTTCCCTAGCATTTACTACAAGGTTTACAATAAATATTTCATACTATCTATGTTCTATCTATATATGTTAAGATCTAAATCGGACCGTGTTCCAAATAGGACCTTTTTAATTTAAATGAATACGGTTAAGCAGATTTGTGTATTTATAATGTAAAGTCCTTACCGAACAGTGATAGCAGTTTGACAGTTTTCTGCTTGGTTTTCTGTCATAACATTCATAAAATAGACGCAAATATGTATTTTTAGCTATCGTACGAAAATTTTTTTTCAAAAGAAAATCCTTGTAAATCATTATTTAAAAGGTGTTAAAAATTTGAAAGGTAATTGATTTAAGATAATTAAAGAGTGTAGAATTAAAAAATATCAAGCATTTTACGATCACTTTTGCGGTTTATTGTAAAATTTGTTCCAAAGTTCGAAAGGACCTGTGTTCAAATCGAACAGTACAGTAGATAACTTTTAGGCCTGGTTGTAGTACTATTTTCCATTATAGTTCAACACAGGTGAGAGATACGTCAAAATGATATAAAGCAAAAATGAAAGAATTAAATGATCTTTCCAACGACACGTTCGATTTTACGGTCGACTTTATTTACACCTTATAGAGAGCAAAAACTGCAAATAGGTCCGATTTAGGCCACTCTCCCCTAATAATAAAAACTATTATTTTTTGTTATATTTTTATTAAAAATTTTTTTATTTGAGATTTTTTTATTCTATTTGATTCTATTTGTATTTATTATTATGTTACTTTATATAACAACAATGATAATAGTGTTGAGTTCTGTGCTGGGCAGCATCGTTCCCTGGTATAACATATATTCTTGCAAGTCTCACTCTTCGACTATCCGGACGGGACCGTTAAATATCAAGTAAGGATCGACATCGATATCGAGCGGGTTCGGCATCGTTGGGCATCGACACGGTTTGTCAATTGCAGATGATCCCACACCACAAACGAACCGCGTTTATCCGACGCTTGTGCCATTGCAAACACCGCGATCGATATAAGAGGAGTTACGCCCTCGAGCTTTGCTAAGCTTTGAACGGTAGAACGTTAAGTACTTCCTTTGACAAACTAAAGGAAATTTACCTACCCTCTCGGCTCAACTATGCTGAAAACACCTCGCTGGGGATTTATTTAGTAATCGGTTACAATATTCATATACTTTAACGAATCATGAACACAAGGTAAACGCAAAACGCGTCTCTTCCCGAGACTTTTCGCGATCGATGCAGCCGGCGCAACAAAACGGTTCGATTCAACGAAGATCACGATACCGTGACGCGTCGCATCGCACACGTGATAAAAAGCATCTCGTCGAGTTTCGTTGTTGGGAACGCCGACCGCTAATGAAATCATTAATGCCATCGTGATTATAATTTGCATTACAATGACGTCATTATTACCGTAGGTTATCATAAACCAAAGCTATTACAAAGCCGTGTCGACGGTGATACCGTCATTACTACTTCACGGTGCTTTATTTTAACGCCGTATAATGATTTTAGTTAATTTTCTTTCAACTTTTTCTGGGGCCACTCATGCTGCTTGTGCATACAGACGTGAAATAAAGGCGAAACGAGCCGTTCCGCTTCCGTTCAACGAACGAGAAAGTTTGGAATTTTACTCTTTCCGGTTTTGTCCTTCTTTTTTTTTTTTTATTTAAACTGGACTCGGTAAAAGCAGAAGAGGATTGGATAAACAATCGACAGAATTTCCTGGACGATCGGCAGTTACGCGACTAACTTTCACGAACGTGTCACAGAAACTCGTTGACTAACTCGATAAAACTCCGGTCTCTTGTCGTACAAGCATCTAATGCAGCAGCAACTGCCCGATTTAGTTTCTTAGCGAAATTCTTAGACGCTCGACCCCAAAACTTTCTTCTCTTGCTTTCCCGCGTATTTGACATCTGCGGATAATGCCACTGTCCTGCGAAGAACCGATAAAAATCAGTGTACGTTGTGGAAGAATATGACGTTTACTTCCCTCGAGATGTTAGATCGATCGTTAAGCGATCCACGAAAGTAAACCGAAGCAAATGTTTTAGAAGAAATTAAATTGTCTAACACGATTTGGAAGATTTGCTATTTGTGACGTTTTCAACCAGACACTCGCAAGCTACTCGGCGGCCGATTTGAAATCGATATTTTCTCAGGGAGAAGATTGAATCCGACGTAATCCTCCTCGCAGCTGTTCAGTTCGAAGCGTTAAGTATTTTTCTGACTAAGCTTTGCACGCTCACAATGCTAATCTTTCTCGCACAGATCTCCGAGGCGATCCATTGTGCTATTTTTGGCAACGATTCGGAGACTATTATGTGCGGAGCCTAGATTCTGTGAATCGGGTGAAAAGAACAGTCATGAATTTTCTTTTCCATTTCTTTATAAACGTGTCTTGCATCCCATCCCACCCTATCCTATTCTTTTATATTGTATACAATCTCGCGGACACGCCACATACGTCCTCTCGCTTATAAGGCTTCGACCATGGGCGAAACTCCTCAATAAAGCCTGCATTTGCGTGTATAGTGCATTCCACGAATAATTCAACTTGCTTGGCGTGGTTTATACGGTTCACGTACCACTTTGCAAGCCGAATCGCGACTAGCACCAAATAACATTATGTTATTGATTAAACTTGGACGCGAAGTAAGTACCGAAAGAGTTTCTCTAACCCCCTTTAGCTATTTATCTTTTCAATATGCATGTTTCTTACGCCATGCTTGAAGCGTAAAGAATTAAGAATATAATAAGTCTCGGAGAGATGTGGAATGAAACGCGATAGAGCGGTGTCGTAACACCAATTACACGAGGCTCGCGGCGATGGGTTTTTCGCGGCTTTTGCGGGACCATCGGTGCGCCAGGATTTTCCACGGAAATATCCGGGAAAATTGCTTTGCGCTCAAAAGCTTCACACGATTATGGCTAAACTCGTTCATTAGGGCGATACTCGCGTGGGCGATAGCTCAAGCGCGTTCAAAAATTCGATCATCCAACCTAACTCGCGCGATCTCACGTAACTCTCTTGCCGAGATGGAACTCGCTCTGAGACCATGTTGCACCGACACCGTGACGTTTCCTGGCTGTCGCAGCAAAAGACGAAAATTTGCAAACGAAGTTACGAAACGCTATACACAGTCGCAAGCCTCTCGTCCCAACCGGAATATTTTATTTGAAAATCTTTTTCGAATCTTTCTAAAACATTTTTTTATGTCAAATACGATAAAGAACACCAAGAACGGTCAAAGTATATTCTTTATTAAATCAATTTATTCCAGATATGATTGCGCGCCGATAACATTCGGACGCCCACCACAATCATTCTGAAACACTAATAATCCCCCCCCTAAATAGATTAGAAAGAAAAATTTATGTCTTATTGTAGATAATAACTTTTGCCACAAATTTGTTATACATAGCATATTTTTTTATTGTATTCAATTGTTTATAAAAAAAGAATACACATTAAAATATCACGAATATTCCCGATTCGGCATTAATCGAATGTCAAACCTTTCCGTTTTCATTTACATCAACGCAGATAACGATCTGTCATCTTTTAATATCCCAAATATCCGTTATCGTACAACTGAAAACTAAATTTTAATAAATATTTATTTGAATAGTTCTAAGTAAATATTTACTAAATATAAACATACATTTATTTGATGCAAAAGCCATTAATTAGATTTTACTATCATTTTTCATTGAATAAATATCAATTTACTTAAGTAAATATTTACTTAGTACCATTTATAGAAATATGAATTAAGATTTATTAAATTTTTTTCAGCGTAGTGAAGCTTTTTTCAATTTATTTTTCTTTTTTTTTTAATTTAGCAAAATGTATACTTTAAGTACAAGTTTAGCATGACACTCTACGATAAAGCTTACGCTTCTTGCCAGATTTTTTTTCTCTCCGGAAAGATATCGTAAGCACGTGGGGACTAAGAGACTGCCACGGTTCGACGATGGAGCAAGTGGTGGAGATCGACGTTACATCTGCCATGAATTTGCATCGAACGGCGACTAACGCTTCGCAACGGGACGCCTAACAGATGCTCCCCGCACGCGATTTACATAAAATGAGACCGGACAGGATCAGGTAGCTCCCGCGGCGAGCTCGGAATAGAAGAGCTCCCCGGTGGTCGAATCAGATTCCCGGAGAAAGCTCACCGTTCCATTATCGGCGCAGGTAGCGGCGATTCTGGGGATTCTCCAGTACGCCATCGAGTAAGAAGGGCAACGCGTTAACCCTTTGACCCGGCGCGGCGAATGCGCGTCACGCGCGTGCTTTTACGGATTATGCTTTTCCGATTCCTGCACTTAACGCCCGTTAAAAGCACGGTTTTATATTGGGTCGTTAAGTCTTGCGAGATACTCCGCCACAGTTTATAACTTTAAGCCTGATGATACAATTGTACTTCGCCACGGCACAGCGCTTTTAGACATAATTACGCAAATTATGTGCATCCGTAATTTTCTCTTCCAATTTTATTAGACTACGACGACGAAGGAATAATCGATTTCGACGAGCTCTGGAAGTACGTTAAGAGATATAATTTGAGATCAACTTTCTATAATAATTTATTATTGAATTTATGATTAAATTTCTTATTAAATTTATAATATTATACGATTATTGATACTGTCCCTCTCCTGACTTGCTTGGCGTATGTTTTACTTTTGCACGAAAGAATTCTCGGTCGCAGTAAATGATCAACAGGGGACGATAATGATTTACATAGACAGACAAATTGTGTAACTCCAAAAGATTTATTACATTACATACACATTACATTCGTACATCTCGAGCAGGGGTATTCTAACGATCGTTGTAGAGTCCAAAGAGTCCGAGCCAATGAAAATTCGTCAAACAAATGATTCTGAATTAGCATCAACGCATACGTCGATCATGCGAAACGTCCATATAGGAGAGAGAGAAAAAAACAACTCGGCTTTATTGCAATCATATACGCCGCCGGACACACACCGGTGTCATCGATCCCTCTCCATCGTAGCGTGCATTTGTGCGGTCGCCTCAGGGAGTGAATTCGGGAGGAATTCGCAAGAGATTGGTAGCATGTCGCTCACCGGAACATCGTATCGACGAGGAAAATCAGGACGAGTAGGACAAGTCTCCTATTTACATCACCGGTGCCGCCGTGTTGCATCGCAGCCGGATGCTCCCCTGAAAAAGAGAATTATACCAGACGACTAAGGTGTCTCTTTTGTGTCGCTTCCTGGGATCCTTACGCGTTCCGATCTCGTCGATCCTTCTCGGATACTCGCTAACGAACATTAAATTTATTAACGGCTCGTCGCAAAGTAGCAGCACGGAAAAAACGAAAAGCACTTCACGCGGAAGGATCCCCGAGGATTTAAGAGAACCTTCGGCCGTCGCGTCGTCTCAAAAAAGAGAGACAGGAAAAATTATTTACGGGTCAGTCATCTCTTTTATTACCAAATATCAAAAATATCATTGGATAATTTGAGTTGTCTCGTAATGACGTAATATATGCACTATTTATTGTCGCAACAAATAAACAAATAAACTATTATTGAATGTCGTGTAATTGAAAATGTTTCTCTCTCTATCGCAATATCTAAACAATTGCTGTAGAGATAATTGATATTTTAGTGTATAAACCGCATTTATTTGTATCAAATATACTGATATATAATGACTAGAGAGAGAGAGGGGGGGGAGGGGGAGAGAGAGAGAGAGAGAGAGCACGAGAAATCTGGGAGATTGCGAATGCGAATTAAAACAAATGTATGTCCTTATCGCGAAACGCGCTCGGGGAGTAATTTCGCAATGTAGTACATTACGCTTTTCCCTCGATCGCAAAGCGCAGAGAATTTCGAAATGAGCCGTCGCAATCTCCCCGTGTCGCAACCCCCACCTCCGCTATTGCCGATATTGCCACCGGTATTTTGCTCACCGTTTAGCACGTGCACCATGACGCTCGCCGGGGTGACTTTACTCGAAGCGCATGTATAATTACCGCTATCGTCAAATTGAGCACGCGTTATTAGGAGCTTGCTGGTGGTACCACGTTTACCCTTCTCCGTCTCCAGCGATACGCCGCCCCTGTCGAACGTAACACATAAGAGCGTTACTTCCGGGAACTGACTTGCGAAAGTTTCCACCAAAATCCACCATTTGTGTGTGTATGTGGGCGCGCGCGCGCGTGTGTATGTGTGTGTGCTTGTATTGATGGTTTATTTCGCGTTTATCTCGACGTCTGACGTGAAATCGCGTCATCCCGTTTCGCCAATACGGCGTCAATCCAATTTTCCGATCGACCGCATTAAAATTCATTTGCTATATCCGCATCAGAGTAACAACGAATTCTTGAAGAATAGAGAACCAGAATTCGCGTAAATTGTCGAAAACTAAATGTTTACTCGTACGACGCATATAGCTTTGCGTGGGCGCAGAATAGAAGCGATTTGGAAATCGATGGGAGATTACTCGTATTAGATACGATTGTTCGTTTCACCGCGATATTAGTGCATTCGAGCGATGATTCCATCAGCTAATTGTGTATTTCACAAAGGTATAATCACCGACTGTTTCCGACTATACCTTGGGCCATCGAAATCGATCACCGCACCGGCATGGTACCAGGTCACATTGCTCGGAGGCAGATCCTGTAGCTCTATAGTGCAGGTCAAGCTGATTGTGCTGCCCTTCTTGATGTATAACTCCTGGGAACCCTTGATCTCCGCCTGTATATCTGATAGAAACAGAAATAACGATGAGAAGAGGAGAAGAATGAAAAATCGAAGCAAAGCGCATCACTCGCGCTCTCGCGATTGGCTTTATTACACTCGAGAAACGACGCGCGAGATATCGTATTACTATCCACGTCGGATTCTACCTTGGAAAATGGATTCTATTTCATTTCGAAAAGCTCAGCGAATCGTCGTCGACGTGGCCATTGTCGGCGATTCGCGAGAGACGTGATCACCGTAGGATCGTATAAGATGGTCAGAAAGGGGAGGGGAAGAAGTTAAAACAATTGGTTCCTACCGACCGGGCCGTGAAAGACGCCCGGGGAGATCTTTAAGAGCAATTTATGGATCTCGCGAAGGCGCCTCTAGTAGAGAAACTCACCCAAAACCTTCAGTCCCACGGCTCTATATATCTTCGGTTCTGTATTAACCTGACACTCGTAAATGCCGGCGTCCCGCGGTTGCACGTAATCTATTCGCAGATTCCAGTCGTCGGTCTCCGGATTGCCGACTACCGTAAATCTTGCGTCGCTCGTGTAAGTCACCGACATGGACGTCAGGATGTGTAGGTCCCTTTTTCGGATCCAAGATACCTGGTCACATACACACGCGCGAGGTGCCACGAATGAGACGCAGGTAATTGCAGTTTGTGCCCTCAACCCCTTCGCTGCTTCTACTGCTATTACTGTTGCTGCTGTTGCTGCTGCTGCTGCTATTGCTGCTATTGCTGCTGCTGCTTCTGCTGCTACTGATTCAACCTGTCCGCATGCTCGTTCCTTATCTCGCATTATAATGAAGTTTTCCGTCGATCTTGTCGAGACTCGAGAGAATTTAGAGATATAAAGACGTAATTAACAAGTCCGATGGGAAAATTTGCATTCCTTTCCAAACATTTGGAAACGTTAGAAAAATTGAGGGTTCTTATAGAGTTGGGAAATTGTACAGGACTATGAAGAAGCGAATATTCCTCCTTTTTAGGCTGCGCAGTTGTCGTAACGGCGATTCATTCTAAAGAAGGCGTCCCAAGCGATAAGAATATCGATTTCGACCTTTTGGCACCGGTTCATGAATAAGAAAATGCTGAGGCTTTCACTTTTTTCAGACGTATCCTCCCCTACTCTTTTCCCATAAAAAAAAGTTATGTCGAATTATCGTTTGTGCGCAAAGAAACCTGTTTTTGAAATTCTATCGAATCTAAATGAACACTCTAATGAACACTTTACGCTTGACTTGCCAGCAGCGAAGGGGTTGCGCGAGCACATTAAAGTTATCGCAAGCACGCGAGATCAATGAGATCGAGCAGAGCTCTAATGACTCACAGTTCTGTTTCCTAGATTTTTAACACGACATAATAGAACGGCGGCCTGTCCTATGGCCACCGTTAAGTTTTGCGGCGTGTCTTTGAAAAAATAGGTCTTCTTTGGGCCGCGTTGCGACTTTTCCCCTTTGCCGAACATGTCGTCGTTGAGATGAAAGAGCGCTGAAATAGACATAAATTATGTGTTTGACATCAGCTATTATTCTCCTGCAGTGACGTTCTTTCGTCGGAAAGAATTACAGAGTGCGGTTTAAAAAATGAACTCGAAGTCTTCGATAAAAAATATCTGAATGTTTTCAATACGGAATATTGATGCATGAACTGTTTATTTTACATATGCTCGTATTCGTAGATAATCATTTATAAAAAATATAATTAATATTAAATGACCACGTTATATTAGATAATTAAATAAAAATCTCAAACTTTTACGGACGTATTTGATTTGGCTTGCTTTTTTATTTATTTAATATATTTCAAAATTTTAATATCTTTAACGAAAAATAACATGCGTGAATATATTTTTAATGGCGAATTCATATTATTCATGATATGTATATAATAGTATGATAGTAAGAACATCAAGTTTAAGTAACTTTGGAAAGCAAAACAGTGATTTAATAGACTTGAGAAATTAATAATATTACTATTGTTGTTTTATGAACTCACAATACATTATACTACTCTTGGAAGAAAATACTAAAACTATGTTAGAAAAACAGGAATTAAAAAGATATACTTAAATAATCTTTATCATAATTTTCGTTTTTTAGTCATGATCCTTCATTTAAATTTCATTTTCTCTAAAAAAAAGTTGTTAATTATTCTCTATCAGGTACAATTTTTCATTAAAGATCATAGACCCTTCAATCGCTTTAATTGTTAATTAATTTCTTTTCTAGCTTCAATAAATATATGTGTATTAACTGTTGAGAATAAAAGTAAATACTTATAACTCTCGAAAGTATAATCTTGAATTAACGCTAATTGTGATTAATTAATTTCCTATTTTCGTCTGTACTATAAAACCCAAAGATGGAAAAAATAAAAAAAATGTAAAATATAAAATTAAAAGAAAATATAAAATGTAAAATAGAATTATAAAATTATACAGAATTAAATATAATCATCAGCGAATTTCAGTTCGTTTATGCAAAATTTTTTTCCGCGGTTAAAACTAATTTAAAAAATGAATATAAAAGAGTTCTTTGGTTTTTTAAAAAGACCGAATAAAAAATTTAACTTTGTAAAATCAAATTTTTATATTGAATTTAGATAGTTGTAAGTTTTATCTCCATTTTTTGCGAACGATGCATCGAAATATTTCGTTCTTAAATGTATTACGAACGGTATATTTCGATTTTATCCTCTTAGCCCAACAGCGGGATAAATTCAATAATAAAAATGATTTACGCCACTCTCTCGTGCACTCTCTTCACGCGACCGAAATTACTTCGAGTACAACTGAAATTACGTGGCGTAGCACCGAGCTGCGGATACAAAAGGGTGTCGGGGCCGGAAGAAGGTTCTCTGGAAATGGAAGGGGTCGGGGAGGAAGCACGGGACATTTACCGATGCCGCGTTCGCTGTGAAGTGGTTCCGCGTGTAACAGGTATCCGATTCCCAGGAGCAGCAGGGCCATGCCGTGGAACGGGGCCATCTTTCACTTCGCGCACATCGTCTCGATCTAATTCACGCGCCGTTTCGCGCCCGATAGCGACCTGCCCACTACCGTCCGTTCCGAACGATCGTTCTCTATTCGCGGCCCTTCGTGAAACACCCGCGGGATCACACCGATCGTTGGCATAATGCCGTCACTGCCGCTCGTAAAGTATATCGATGTGTCCTCGCTTTTCACATTACCGCGAATCGAAATCGTTTCCACCGTCCCCGCAATATCGGAAGATCGTCCCCATAATTAATCGATTTCTTTATACGTTTTTTAAATCAGAATTTAATTATTGGAAATTATTGTTGTTAAAAATTATATTAAAAACAAAAACGTAGCAGTCTTCAGAGATCGCTTAACAATAGATAACAATCGCTAACGACACGCTCGTTCTTTCGATCTCCACGCGACTCGACCGCGATCGCACGGAGCGTTGAAGCGGTCAGGAATAGTGCGACACGGTTGCGGGCCGAGCTAGGCCGAGCACTGAATTTCGCTCCTCGCGGGGGATGGGAAAAAGCTCGGAAATCCTGGCACGGTGGCGCCGTGCCCGTTCCATCAGGGCACGTGCGATTGCGCCGAGAGGTCCCCGGCATCGGATGCGATCTCCCTTAACCGGCGAGATGTATTTATCCCGGCGCGGCGACCGCGAGCGACTCCCGCGACAACGCGGCCGTACGTTATCACGATTTACCGAAGCGATCGACGTACATACACACATCTCACCCCGAAGCGCCGAGCTTCTATCTTACCTATCTTTTCCATCCATTCGCAGAGCGTTCACGGATAAAGCGATTTACGGCGTATTCGCTATTTTTCTAAGGCAATCTCCTCTTGCGCATAAATAAGAAAATAAAGGAACGAACGTGTACACATACAAGCTCCTTTCTATTAAACAATATATTTCGATACAATCTTTCAACAACGTAACAATATTCTTAAAAAAATACAATATAAATCATTTGTAACTTGTAATATAAAGTAACTTTCAGCAGGAATCCCTCTGCGCTCATCCCCGCGCGGTAATATTAAATACTTATTAAAAGCCGCAAGTCGGAAGATAGTTCTGCAGGTATAACAATACAAGCACCATCGTGTTTTATTCCCTGTTATTATACTCTGCTCCTAATTTCTTCTCTGCGGCTTTCACGACAATGCGAATGAATTGTTTACATGTTTCTAACACTTTGTACATAATTGTAGTAATATTTGTGTGATAAATTACCCTTTTCATTTAAACAAATATATATTTGTTTAAACCTACAAAACGCATCTTCTATCTAAATATATTCGATTATTAATATATCTATTCTGATTCATGACTTCTGCTATAATTATTTTTCTATTTAAAACTTTTTTCACTTACATTTAAAATTTAATAATTAAAAATTTCTTTAAATTGCGTAAGAAGAAAAATTGTAGAAGAAAAGATTATTAACTGTCCCGTTGAGATATCAATCAATAAAACGTTAAAATTATTATGATTTTCATTATTATGCTTAACAAGATTTGCGTTCGGTTTGGAGACTCTCGCGCTTATAATCCATTTTATCTTTATTGTTCATTAAACATAAAACAAAGATAGAAGCGTTGAAAGCATCCAAACTGAACGTAGTCCAAATAATATTTTATATATCTTTACATTAATCATACATATACAATTACAAAAATATTCGAATTAAAAATTGATAATATAAAGTATTTATTATAATACCTTCATTGACATTATATATATATATATATATGTAAATAATAAAAAAAATAAAATTATCTTTCCTTACCATATAAAAAATATATAAAATTTTGTGCGTACAATAAATATTGCAAGTAATCTAAACACATTAACGATCTTTCTTTAGACATATTTGAGTCTTTGGAAGATTTCAAGTTGAATGATACATACAAAATTGTACTCTGTTCTATATTATTTAATTATTCACAGCAGAATGAAAAGTTTTATTCTGTCGATATATAATTCGTGCTATCAACGGGACAAAGATACCGGCTTACGTTTTATCTATTGTAAAATCACCCTTTGTACCACCCGTTTTCGACACCAATTCTATACCATATATTTGCATTGTGCCAAGACTGGCTGCGTATTTGCACATATCATAGATTGTCAGAGCCGCTATACTCACAGCGGTTAAAGCTTCCATTTCGACCCCAGTCTTGCCGGTACATCTGACCTCTGATGTGATTTCGACTCTGTGCGATTCCTCGTTCAATTTTAAGCGTACGTTTACATAAGACAAGGAGAGCGGATGACACAGAGGTATCAGATCAGAGGTACGTTTCGCTGCCATAATACCGGCCAATTGAGCCACCGATAACACATCACCCTTTTTCACATTGTTTTCCGCGATTAAATTACTGATGACAGGACCTATCCTCACGAATCCCCTTGCTATCGCTATACGTTTACTATCGTTTTTTGATCCGACATCCACCATACTCGCTTTACCGGTCTCGTCTATGTGTGATAATGACGAATACATTCTAATATTTGCATTACTTTTAAGGTACTTAGGAATATACGGGAAATATTTGTACTGCATCAATATGGTATTACTCATTTTGCAAGGAAGTTTTTCCTTACGATTTGCTGCAACGTAAATATGTTGTAAAATGAATTCTAAAAGATATTGTTAACATAATTAACATAGCAATTTGCGATAATATCTGTGCGCATTTCGACAAATCCGAACGTACTTTAATAGTTAATTATGACGATCAATTAACCTCCAATCAATATCATTGGCCTATTTTCCATTTGAGTAAGATTGAACATCCCTGAAACAGCAGAGATATAAATTCGATTTGTCGATACTGCTACAGTTTATTTAAAATAAACAGAAAGATAACAGGAAAAAACTTGAAAGAGAGAAGAAAACAAAAAAAAAACAAGATCTTAAAATAATTAAAAATATTTTTACTAAGATATTTTTTAATAAAAGAATTAATGTTTTATTATTAAATACCGCGCGTTCTTTTCACTTTGATCGATACACATGTACATAGCATACCTGCGTGTTGCTTCTTTTTTCGTGATACTGCTCTTCTTATCAAATCCTTAAGTGCATCTTGCGAAATTCCACTTCGCAAAGCGTCTCGAAGTGAGACTTCGCCTTTCCCTTCAAATAGGCACACTTTCAAATTTCCATCTGCTGTTATTCTTAAACGATTACACGAATCACAGAAGTGCTGACTCATGGATGTAATAAACCCAACTTGCCCTACGAATCCTGGCACATGGTAGGCCTGCCGAAAGAACATTATATACAATACAATTTCAATTAATTCAAATATCAAGTAAGATATTAGTAATTAGAAAAAAACAAACCTTGGACGTATCATTGGGCTGATTTGGCAGAGCTTGGAAATCGGGATACTTCTCTCGGATTATTGTTTTCATCTCGTTGAAAGAAACCATCTTATTTTCTTTCCACTGGTTTCCTTGAAATGGCATATATTCTATGAAACGTACATCGATAGGCCGGTCTCTTGTGAAATCGATGAAATCAATTATTTCATCATCATTGTGGCCTCGCATCATCACGCAATTGATCTAACCATTCAAACACATTGATTAAATAGAGCACTATTGTATATACCAATTTATTGCCTAAATTCTAAGCAGAATCATAAGACTCATAACATATTCCTGTAAGATTTGTAAGAATTTTTAAGTGCTTATATCTTTATATATTTTTACAGACAGCTTTTTACTAGCCTTAAAATTTACAAAAAATCGTAAATATTTACGAACAATCGTATGTCTTACGATACATACACATAAAATTAGAATACCAAGTATTACCTCATAAGTTCTTACAAGTTTTACGAGAACACATTATGAGTCTTATGATTCTGCTTAAAATTGACCCATATGTTTAAAATTTATGTAGCTTTTTAATTAAATTACTTTCACAGGATTATAGCCTAGTTGAACAGCAAGATCTATAGAAGCCATGACTTTTGCCCAGCCCCTTCTGCGAGTAAACAATTCAAAGCGCTCCTCTTTCAGAGTATCAAGCGATATATTGAGTGCATCCAATCCTGCTTTCTGAAGAGCTGGCAACTGACGCGTCAGAATTAATCCATTGGTTGTAATCGCAACCTGTTCCAGATCTCTCAATTGCTTCAGTTGTCCTAAAACGTAAAATTATATGCAAATAAATTTTGAAAACTGAATTGGACTCACAATATTATTAATAAATTAATCAAACACATTTTCATTGAAAAAGTAGACTTTACCAACGATATCGATGATATCTTTACGAATTGTGGGTTCGCCACCGGTTAAACGTATTTTGCGTACTCCTTCTTTGACAAAAAGATCAGCTATTTGTATTATCTCATCTGTTCTCAGAATACCTTCCTTCTTAGTTAATTTCACGCCTTCCGCAGGCATGCAATATGTACCTGATGTTAAAAAACATGTTATTTTATGTTAAACGACATTCGTCAAAAATTCAAGACAACTCTCTAATATAATATTTTAAACTTAAACGATTTTAAAAAGACTCACAGCGAAGGTTGCAACGCTCCGTGAGGGAAATCCTAAGATATGTGTGCTTGCGTCCAAATGTATCTGTGAGTATCTCATGCTCATCCTCTTGCAATTTTGCTCTGAGCTGCTGCAACTGTAAACGAGATATTCGTTAAATCAATCACGAAAATTTTTAATAGAAATGTCAAATCTTAAAAACAGACTGTGCTCTGACAGATGCGACGAGATGACACTTACCCGAGATGGCGTTCCTTCGACTGCAGCAGCTTCTGTCGATGCTCTCGCGGTACCGAGAAGCTGCTTGACAAGATTGCATCTTCGAAACATTTGTACGATCAACAGACTCCAAAGATAATGAGAAACGGAGAGAAAAATAGAAACGTTATGTCATCCACTGATCGATGGAGGGGGATTTACAGTGTTGCTTTCACCGGCTGGTGGAATTTGTACCTCCAATCTTTCCTTGAAATTATTACGCCACTCCACTAATCGACGTTATGTCCTTGATTATGCTTCCTTCCCTACATTATTTATTTTTTGGCCTTGGAGGGAAAAAAACAATTACGTAATCGGTGTTTACGAATTCGTGACAATGCTTATATCTTTATCTAACGCACCGTCATTCAGTTTTATCTGAGGAAACGCTACGTCGTTTGACACTAACGTAGTTAAATTGCACGCCCCAAACAACATATTTGGTAATGCTTTGCTTTCCTTTTCCTATATCAGGCTCTCATCAGCCACTTGTCAATCACCTGTCACGTGGCAGAACCGCGGATCACCTGGTATCTCACATGACTCACACATGTGACACATATGTTGCACGTATACTCGTCCCTTCTACAATATAGAAACTTTAATTTCAACTTACTCTCCATCTTTTTCTAATTCTTAGAATTAAAAAAAGACGAAGAGTTTGTTGACCGAGATTAAAATTAAACACTTTGTAGAAAGGGGCAACAGTTGTGAAACAGCTGTTCAAGCTATTTGCAGCAATGTCGCCTCGTTGTGACTGAAGCAAGAAACAACTTAATTGATTAAACTAACAATAAGTACGGTTAATAATAGAAGAAATCGTAATTACCTACTGAAAGAAGAATCGCTCTTATCGATTATCAGTAAATATTTTTTTATGTTTAATAATAGAACTCGTGATTGTCGACCTTCGAAAATCGTAAGCTGAGAAAGAGGTTAGAAAGAAAAAATTGAAAGAAAAACTTGATATTTTTGTGCCGTATAAAAGAATAAGAAGAGAAGTAAAAGAAGAAGAAATGTCTCTTTTTCCTGCTTATTCGAACGATAAAACTGAATGTCCAAGCAGTAGCGATATAGGTAATTGTTTGAACTTTGATCAATGTTTATATTCCTACACATCGTGAAATATTTATTATGAATCATTTTAAATATTTCAATAAAATATTTAAAAAATATTTCGTAAGCATTTGTAAGACGTTTTAAAATTTTCCATTGAAATATTTCATAAAAATATTTTAGAAATATTATAGAAACCTAAACATTTCAGGAAATATATCAAAAACTCTTATTCATATTTGTATTTCAGAACATATTTATATTTCAGAAATATTTCTAAATATTTCAAATCTTGCATGAAATATTTCATGCTGTGTGATTGTGAAGACAATTAGATTGAAAATGAATTATTTTTTCATTATTTTCTGCTTTGAAATTAATATATTCTTTGATATTTGTACGCTAATTTCAGATAATGTTTCCACTAAGTGGTTGTCAAACTCAAGTTTTCAAACACAAATTCCAATTAAAACAGAACCTCTTGACCTGTACTCTTCATCAGACGAGTCTTTACACGAATCTTTGCTTGATGCAGAAAAGCAAGTACCATCCGAACCAATTTCTCGAGACACAAAAGTATCCATAAAACAGAAAATCGACAAAAGTCAAAGAATAGATAGAAAAAGACGTACTCACGACAGTAAACAATATAAACCGGATTATGAGCTGGATGTTGAGAATGTATACTTTGAAGACAGACATAGAGATAAAGGAAACAATAATATAAATACATATTGTCACAGAGCGAGGCCATATTATAATGTTAGTGAAAAATCTCTCGGTTATGTTAAGAGCAAACAACCAAAGAAAGACATGTTTCATAGGTATTATGTCAAAAATATTGACTCTGCAGAGACAGAGAAGAAAAAAGATACAATTATCAAGAAGACGAATGAGAAAGAAACTTCAATAGAGCAAGATGATGAAGCAAACAAAAGTGTTTCTTCTTGGTGTAAGAACTTGGAAGAGGAACAAAAATGTAAAACTCGAGAATTTAATGAACAACTAACAGAAAACCCACGTAATGTTGAACTTTGGTTGCAATATATTTACTTTCAGGTATTTTATGAAATATCCCTTGTACATTTTGGTTATAAATAGCATTTATGTTATGTTTTAATATATGTGATACAAAATTAAACTAACAATATTTCAATATAAATGTTACAGGATACTCTGGCTTATTATCAAAGACACCAATTAGCTAAAGATACGTATCGATCTACAGTATTGAAAAAATTATCTATTGTTGAAAAAGCGCTCGAGAAAAATACAGATTCCAAGGAATTATTAAAATTAAAGCTATATTTTATGACAGAGTTGACTCCGTCTGATGAACTATCGAATCAATTAGAGGTATTAGTCGATAAAGATTCAGGGAATATTATGCTGTGGCAACACTATCATGGTCACACAAGGTTCAGTAGCATCGTGTACTGTACCCCGAGTATTGGATTTATATTCAAAATGCTTCTGTGTTTTGAGACAGCGCTCAAGAACAAATCCTTCCATTTATGATGCACAGTTGCTGCGTAAGTAGACGTTTGTCAGATACTTTAATTTTATATATTTCTTTCATATACTTTATTAATTCAATATATTATATTTCGTCTAGATATGCCGTATCGATGCTTGATTTTCCTGAGACAAACAGGATTATGGGAACAAATGTGGGAAACGATACGTTTAAATCTAAATTTGAATCTAAACTTAAACAAAACTAGTTTCTTTTCGAGGATCTATAGATGAAAAAAAATTAACTAAGTATATTAAATATTGTAAATTACAATAAAAGACTTCTGTTAAGATTATTCTATACAAATTGTTCAAATTGCAGGAAATTTTCAAGTTATTTACTTATGCCAAATCATTGACATTATGTAATAAGTTAATGATAATTATTGAGGAGGTAAGTGTGAAAAATGCCTACATATATTATATATACAATAAGTATAAAATATACAATTAATTTTCCAAAAAGAATTTAATGGGAGTCTTACGATATTAAAGTATATCAAATATATGCTATTAATAGTGTTAAATAATAATACTAATTTTCAGTTGGAATGGAAGAAATGATATCGATGTCACGATTACCATTAAATCAACTATGGCAAAGAACTGAGTCATTGAGAGAGAATTGCCATTGGATTAGCGTTAGTAGGGACGAGTTAGAATTAGTTGGAGATTCTAGAAGATTTATTTTACCAGAAGATGTGGCAGATTTTGTACATCCAATTCTTTCCCGTAATTCAAACTTTCAAATGGCTATTTATTCTCTTTTATGTCTGAAAGTACCACTTTTACCTTGTCGAGATCGCTATATGAAAGTAAGTAAAATTATCTTATTTATTAAATGAGATTACAGAGAAGTTTACAAATCGTAAAAAAATACTTTATATTTTTATAGGAATTATTATTGACAAACTTTCATTGGGGAGTGGAATCTTTAGAAGTATTGCTTCCTTTTATGTATCCTATGGTAGGTGAAATGGCTGGTCATGATCAAAGGAAAGAATTATTGAAGGACGTTCTCGAAGGACGTTTAACGTCAGGTCCTCGATATCTCAAGTTTCATCCGGCGCAGGAACCATATTTAGATTTTGTACGCAAAATATTTCATACGATCGCGGAAAATCTGCCTTTATTACAACGGACAAGTATATATGTCTGGTGGTTGCGATTGGAAAGATTATTGGTATCTCTTGGCAAAGATGAACCTTTAAAACACGACAATAAGTAAAATTCATATTTACCTAAAAGCTTTATTCTAATAGTTTTAATTTCCACATGCGACATTAATCAATTTTTTTGTTACAGAGGAAAAAAATTGAGAGCAACGTTGAAAGAATTTTTAAAAAAGGATGAAAATAGAAATAATTTGTATTTTTATAAAGAATATGCTTTAATAGAACTAGAAATGGGCAGATTCAGTAATTGTATGAACATTCTTGAAACTGCTATTCAATCTCAAGGGACATGCCCGTCTGCAATATGTGTGAGATTACCAATATGTGTGAAAGAGCAGCGCTTTTTAACGTATATAGGACATTCATTGAGACCTTGCTTGATATTAGAACGTATAACGAATCGCACAGATCCTGGATACTAAAAGTCTTTGGTCAAATGATACCTAACAAAAACGAAAATCAAGACTCTTTGATCGAAGCATATTTACATTCGTGTGTACAAAATTTTCTGCAAATCCCTTCCAATGAACAAGAAAAAGATACTTAATTTCTGTCGAACTTAGAACGTGATGCTATTGTATGCTATGCATACTTCCTGTACATTAAAGACGGTGATATCCAAACTGTTATTAACACATTAAGGAACTGCATTGATCATTCCAAGGATTATCCTTACTTACAGGTACTAATTTAATATTCTGTGAACGATTAAAAATTATTAATAAATAAATTTAAATTAAACAATTATGTACAAAAAATTTTAAAATCATTGCAGGAAATGTTGTACGAAAGTCAAATTGCAATTCTGCAATTACATTACGAGCGAACTCAGAGTATGCAGGCTGTGTTAAAAGAAACCTTAAGCAGAACTTTAAATACATATCCAAATAACTTTTATGCTTTATCTGTATTTACTCGAATAGAGGTAAAAAATACTATTTAATGAAATTGTAACAACTACTCTATAGGATGTTTCTAAATCAATAATAGAATTATAAAATAATTATCATTTCAGAGTGAATTACCAACTTGGAGATTCAATAGTAGAAGCACTGAGATTGAATTGTGGCGAGCCATGGCAATGTGTCTGGCTGCTCGTAGACGTATTGGTCTCCTAATGATCATCATGATGCAATGAATGCCGCACTAAATAAGCTATTATCTTTTCATCTAACACTCTCTAGGTATAACATAATTAAATTCTTGTAAAATGAACTTAAATGCATCAATATTATGATATATGCTATACTACATAAAATTATTTCCAGAATACCATCGACACGATGTTGTCCATTGCTGTGGAGACTGTATATGCTCCTTCTGCGCGAACATAATTTATGCGAGAAAAAAGGAGAAAAGATTTATCATGAAAGCGTCACTCAATGTCCATGGACAAGAAGTATTTACATAGATGCAGCTGAAGTAGCGCCTCAACTTCTCACACAAATTCAAGATCTAATTCGCGAGAAAGAATTAAGAATGCACGTCACACCTGAGGAATTAGATATTCTTCGTGGATAATGTAATTTTTCTATATATTGATAAAAAAAAAAAATATAAAACTGTATAATGTTTTTCGTGTTCCTTAATTTAAATTTTATTTTCTAATGTGATAAATTATAAGAGTATATTTAAATGTAAATTTATATATAACATGTAGATTAAAAATATCTGAAAATAAAAAGTAAATAAGCCTTTTTGTAACGTATAAAATAAGATATGTAATAAAATATAAAGCAATTTGATATTCAGCCTCATATCCAAAATCAATTATCTTTAATATCTATACATGTATGTTACATACACATACATATATTAAATATATGTTATATATTCATATTTCATATTAATTATAATAGAATATAATTATTTTTTAAAATAATTATTTCTATTTGTTAAATGCAAATGTCGCGTAAAAAATGTATATGCTAATGTTAATGATAACAGATGTTCATATCTGAAAGTCTTTGGTTAGCTCAGTGATGTGGTGCAAAAAATTGTAACAGTATTTTTCAGAACAAATTATAAACAGACTTGAAAGATAAAAGAGCGTATCGTCTTAAATCAAGTGTATTGTTTTCTTATTGAGACAATCAAAAATAATAATCTACATATTGTGTATGTTTTTAATAACACAACTAACCTCAAATTGATAGTATATTGGTAGTTAATTGATTGCATGTATGTGGATTAAATGTTATTATATAAATTTTAATAACGATAAATAGAAATAAAATCTTTCAAATTACGTTAAATAAAGCAAATATATGAAAATTGAAAGATAATTGCTTCTTACAATATTATTAAATTCTTTTATCATACTTGTGTATTAGTATATATATTTTTTATTTGCAGTGTTATGAAAATTTTATTATAAACATCATATTTCCCAAAAAATGGATTTAAAAGCTGTAGTTGTTTCTGGAGAAGCTCCAGAGTCTGATGATGACGCATCAAACATTGTTACTGTATGTAACATACATATATGCGCCTCTATACATATTATATTTTATACTAAATGTTTTTAATTTAATACAGTTAACATGAAAAGTATTGTCTACAAATTTTATTACATGCAGGGCCTAGGATTCCCTATAATACGAACACCATCCACATACTGCGGTACCATTATCTCAGGCGAAGCTCCAGAATCTGATGATGGTAAGTTTTATTGATATTGACTCTTTAAATTTATAAGGATCTAATTACGATTCAACTTTTATTCACAGATTTAACAAGTTTAAGTAGTATTAGCGGAGCAGTAGATGCAATGGCATGTCCTCCTTACACAGATCTTAAAATCCCAAGATCTAAAAAAAGTTCTATCAAGTATAATAGTTTACTTCATAAAAAATTATGTAAGTGATTTAATATCTTAAAATATTTATAATCATATTTCCTAATTAATTACATATTTATTTTTCTATTCATTAAAGTACCAAGTATTGCAAGCTTGTTGAATAAAATGTTTACAAAATACGAATTTTATTTTTATTAACATTCGTTTATTAATATTACAGCAGTACAATAGCTAAACAGTATTATGAGATTGTTCATGTGTGGAATATCGACAACTTATTTTCCAATGATTCGTATCTCTAAATCAATTTCGATTTACTGCACAGATACATTCGCATAATTACAATGTTTATCTATAAGTTATACTGTACAAAGAATTTTCTTATAAGTTCTTATAAAACAGCATTTATGAAAGACATTAAATTATATCTTAAAACACAAAATCGATATATGTATATACGTATCGCTTATTAATTTTGAACATCATTTAAATTGACATATGTTAAACAGACGAATGCAATGAAACCTTGGATAGAGACATTCTGCAAATGACCGAGGGCGCAATCACAACCAGCGTACAAGAATTGTCAGCTGTTAATCGACAATTGCTGCGAAGTGAATTGGTGTTACAAGAGGCTGTGAGTCAATTACGTAATGCATCCGGTCGGGTGAAGGATGCCTCCGACGCTCTACATCAACTCATAAATGACAACTTCTTGCATTCCATTAAAATTTAACTTTTTTTTGCTAAACTTATTAAGTGCGTTTCTATTCTTAAGATATACATGTAGCAATGAGTAACAGGTATGTGCTTAATATATAATGCCATCTTCATGGTACCGTGCATTAGATGCCGGTGTTAAAAAAAATTGCGCTTTCCTCTTTGAGATCTAGGACATTGTTGAGCATTAATCGATCTTCCCTTTAACTGGCAGTACTATTTAATGCGTCCTTTTTATACTTTCCAACGCATTGTCTCGTTTATTTTGAGAATAGTATCAATCACATCAATTCATTATAAACTAATACCCTAAGATCGATCTGTAGAACAAAACGTGCTGCGCCCGATATTTAACGATACATTTGATCATACAGTGAGATAGCAAATAGTTCGATACTGACTATTGTCTTGCCTACCATTTCGTAAATTTTAATCGGAGTGGTGGCACAAATTCTAATACAAATATGTATAATGCGATTATAGTGTGCAAGAGGCTGGTGATAATTATATATAATGATATATGTATATATATATATATTGAAGAACGTTACGATATTGATATAGAGCATTTCTGCGGAGAGTAGACATACACTTTCGTTACAGTTTTAAAAAATTTATAGTAAATGTATGTAATATATTTTGATTTCGTGATTTTCAAAGAATACATGAATGTAAATATGGCATCGCTCGTTTGGATTATCGATTATATAATCATAAAATTAGGGTAATATTTAGTACCTAGTGTGTATGCATAGTCTTGTCAGAAACACTTATGTTCTTTCTTTGCTGCAGATTACCATGTGTTCTTTTTCTTTTTTTTTTTTATCAAATAGCACAATTTTGCTTGGTATCAAAGGGCTGATATCGACTTTTTTTGTCGCTATTATGTCGCTAATGTTAGTGTACAATGAATTGGTGATATCAATGGTGGTGGTTTTCGTTTTCTCTATAAATTCAGTCTTAAATATTCCATCGATCTTCGTTGAACCAAATTTCGGTATGACGTATCTAAGTACAAAAATCCCATAAACAAAACCCGTTTCGCTAAGACTTGATATGGCAATATCGCGACGGGAATATCCACTCTGAAATGTGTTACTTACGCGCGGCTTGGCTTTCTTTCTTATGTATTATTCAAATTAGCAGCTAAATTGCGTGTATATTTCTGCCGGTACAGCAAGGTAATCTCTCTTGAATGTTGTATTAAAGCAATTCCGTACGCTTACTAAGGATGTAAAGTATTGCCAAAGCATAGTTGTGCCACTGAATCTCGTATGTATATAGATTAAAAAAATTCTACAAAAAACTTAGAGCTACTATTTCCTCTAAGATGCGAAACCTATTACTATTATCATTTATTATTATATTATTATTATTATTGATGTTACGGTAGTAAATGCTGGGCGAACGTAAACTACTTGTGTTTCGTGTCTTTGTACAATGTCTTTGTCTCTGCGTTTCTTCGTGTTCTTCGCATCGCGAGAGATAACATAAAATTCTCCTCACTGACACAGCTGCGTTCGGCTTGAGCGACTAAAGCTCGTCTGTTCTCAATTACTCTATCAGTTTGTGTAAATAGCGATGGGCTCAATTCCAGAACAGGATCAGAGTTTGTTGTAGTTGGCGACCTTTATAGAATATGCGACGCCGCACTCTATACATATTTGCTAATGTGAGGGCGCCCACCCCCCACATGGCCTACGCTCGCTCCATCTCACCACCGCTCGCGTACATCTGGAGGAGAGCCATGGATTCCTGCGCTTGCCGTTTCTCCACTAAGAATCTACCTGAAGCTTCCTTCAGCTGCTCGAGGAAGAGTCTGTAACAAAATTGGAACAGAGAAATTAATGATGCTGTCCAACACAATCACTTGATCAAATATCATAAGGTATCAATAGCAATGTCTTGATGATAATATAAAAAGTATGTTATCTTAAGTAAGAGAGGTGATTTCAAGCTCTAATTAACTTAATTAGCTATTAATTTATTAAATAGTACTTTGTTAAGATGAGTAAAATCATCAATAATTTTCAATTTTAATGACTAATGATTCTTCATTTATTGTTTGTTACTTTTTGTTGACACATTTGAAGAAAGAATTGCATAGTTAAAAAGCTGATCGAAATAATCATATTAATCGAAGTATGATCGAAGTCACTTTGATTGCTTACCTGTCAGGCACTATGTCGCCTAAACTATCAGGATCCATATCACTGAGTGTTTCCAACTCGGTTCCTCCCAAGAGCGAGATGTGCGACGGGTCGCTGTGAAGCGACGAAACCAGAGGCTCGATGAGCGTTCGCCGTCGTCGAATCTTGTCGACTTTCGAACCACCTTCGGCATTATCCACATTATCCACAACGATGCAACGAGACGCTGCCTTGCTGCTGCCTACAGCGGCCCATTTTTGATCACCATGCAGCACCATCAAGCTTGTGTTTCTTTCTAATGTGGCAAAATATTCCTCGTCGTCTACCTCTGTTCCTATAACATTTATCAGCATGTAAAAGTGCAACTTCATCCCTTATAAAAACAATTATAGTGACTGAGCCTTATAATGTGTTTTGCAACAAATTATGTACATCCAGAATCGAAGAGATATTAGATCTAACAATTGCTGTATGTTGCAACATGAACATTTCCTTACCATCCTGTTCAAGCACGATCGTCAGATCCGCATCCACAGGGAATGCCAGTCGATTACGTGCGACGTTAGTCAACTCCTTCAACGATGAGGCGGTGATGCCCTTTCTTCGTTCCCTAGTGTGGTCAACTATCTTGTAAGGATTGCCCACCCCCTGCGTGACTCCGGTTGTTTCCGACATATTTCTTCTGCACAATCGGTGAACGATAATAAATTTTAACTCTGCTAATCGCTGACGATTAATTCAGTTCGGTTTCAGTTCGGTATCACGATACTGGGAATCCCCGACGCCCAACGATAATTAAGCGCAACCGTCTAAGTCAGAAAGGATTTATTCTCTTGAAGAGAACTGACTGCTGCTAAGGCCTGATTCTCGTTGCACATTAGTTGGTCCGTGTCTCGACGATGTGTCGGGAAAATTCGAGTGACCCGTGCGTCCGACGATAGCAGAGGAAGGAATACGCCCTTACGCATGAAAAATGTAACGAACACAATTACGATGAACACGGTGTGTACAAGCGCAGTTTCTTATTTTTTCAGCGTCGAAGAATAGCTCTCTTGACGATTATGCACCAGGTTGCAGTCGTATCGTTGTCCGACGATTCCTCGGATAAAAAATTGTATCGCTCGAAAGAAGCAAACAGGTATGAAAGGGCAGTGCTCAGGTTTGCGTTGGATTGACCTGGAGGATCAACGAGGACTTGAGCGAGACCTCTCCTTTTTCTCTCCTTCAACAATTCACGCGGATAAAAAAAATGAATAGAAGGTGGAGACAACGGCGATTGTGTGACGCGACAAAGACAGAAAGACAGAAAGAAAGAGAGTGATGTGTGTATGATGCCTTGAGTGACTGAACTGACCGTGTGTCAACCCAACACTGGGTCAACGGTGCAACTACCCCTTCTATTTATACCCCCTGTAGACTCTCTCGCAGGTATATACGCGCGAAACGAGAGACACCCCGACACAGCATCTACTCCACCCACTTCTGCCTATCCATCCAACCCTCTGCCGTAGCACCCCTACACGGAAATCAATAACCTACCCCACTCTAGTCGCAGCCGCGCTCATTTTTTATCAGCGCTGACGAGAAATTTACAAAAATACTCCGGCACGACCGTCACCAAAGAGGGCCGATGCAAAATACACGGATTGACGAGATAATTCACGACACGTGTCAATCGATCCACTTCTTTGAAAACTGAAGGAGATTGAAAATAAAAACGAATAAAAATAATTTTGCGAATCTGCGATATCCAGATATATTATTCAGATAAATACATACGAAATCGGAACGGATATTTGCAATTTTATTTAAAGAATGAACAGATAAAGATATAAAACTTCTCACTATTTTGCACTACTTTGAAATGTGTTTTAATAAATAAAACCACACACGTGTCACGAAAAAACAGATAATGATTTAAAATACAACAGAAAATTTTATGTACCTTTTATTATTTTAATAATGAATTACGGTATATATATGTGTATATATATATATATATACAATATTTAAACACAAAATTCATTACAATGATAAAATTAAATTTTATACATACATTATATATATATGTTTTATATCTTTAAATCATTAATCTAAATTAATTTAATTATCATATACAAATTCATTATTTAAATTTTTTTATTGTAATATATATTCTTGTGTTATTTATTGTAATATTACAAAGAAATGTGTGTGTGCAGAATTTAATATTAATTACTAAGACTATAAATTTAACTCTCAAATATTTCAATCTGCTAGGAGTTTTGAATTTAAGACACAGCACTGTAGTTATATTTAGATGTCAATGAGACTAGATACTGTTTTAAGTTTAAAGTTAGCTCAGGCATAGCCCAGTTAGGGTTCCTCGGTGAGCTACATCAATTTATTCGAATGGAGTCGATCACGTTTGGTTAAAATTTTGATAGAAAACCTGAATCAAGAATGCCGTCGAATGGAAGTAAAGAGGCCGACGACAGTCAGACATGGGAATTAGCAGAGAGGTGTCTATTACCCATTGCATTTTCACATGCAATTGCAGTCATCCTGGCAACTATATTAAACACCTTTGGGATCTCACAGACATCTAGCTTTGTACTCTTTTTGTTGCTATTGGTCATATCCGTAGGATCCACATTGTTCTATCATAATCTAAAGGTAAGATATTTGCATTGTGTAACGCAAATCTTCAATATATTACTCATTTTTTCCCCAATAATTTTATATAAAACTTTTTACTACAACTACATAAAAAACTGTAAACCTTTCTGACCTTCAAAATTAAATTAAAATACATATTGCACCCCTATAATGAAAATCATATGTCCTCAACCTTTTATAATGTCATATGCTTGTGAACATTTGAAAGTTCAAAGGCCCTCTATATCGGAATTCTCATGGAATTTTACACCAGGCCTGATTGAGACCTTTAACCTTTTTTAACAAACGTTGCATAATGCACCTGTTACCATTGCCCTACCATACTTCCTGCTTCATACGTTCTTTTTTTTTTTACAAAGGACTTTGAGATCATCATCGCCCGATCAATGGCTTTCAATGGATTATCAAAAGCATTATAAAGCTTCATTACATCAGATCATGATTCAATAAGTTATAAACACTATGTTTTCCTAATAGTCTACTTGATGCAACAGGTTACTGCAGCAGGAAAGGCAGTATTAATCACAGGTTGCGATTCGCGGGTTGGATATACTTTAGTGAAACAGCTAGACGATTTGGTAATTATATGTGAAAATATATATTCCTCGTATGACCAATTGAATAATTTAAAGACAACGTATGATTTCTCTCTTTTGAAGGGCTTCACCGTATTCGCTGGATTCAGTAATAAAGGCGAGAATGAAGATAGCATGCAGAAGTTGAAAGACCACGCGTCTGGAAGATTGCACGTGCTACAACTAGATATTACCAGCGAACGTGATATACATTCGACTTTCCTTTACGTCAACGAAAACTTGCCTGACGGAGCTCCTGGTATATCGCCCTATCTCTTAAAGCTTCCTGAGATTATCGGTGTAACGGATTATTTCTACGTCATCGTTGCTACGTTATTTCAGGATTGTGGGCACTCGTGCATGCTGCTGCTTGGGTGACTCTCGGAGAATGCGAGTGGGTGCCCCCATCTGTTCTCAAGCGAAGCATAGACATCAACTTCATTGGCCTAGCGCGTTTAACACAGGTACTGTAAAACATTACAAAAATGTCAGAACACAATATTCTCTTTTCTTTCTTTGTAACAGGTATTTCTTCCTCTGGTTAGGAGGTCAAAGGGCCGAATTGTTCTTGTTAGTAGTCTTCTGGCACGGATACCGAGTCCCGTCCGAGGCATTTATTGTGCCCTTAAGGTAAATCCTCTTTGTCACGCGCGTAGTTAAGCGTAGCTTGTCTATTTGTATATATAATCATAAGACTGGAAGGACATTAATAAAGCTTGAGTAGCTCAATAGACTATTATAAATATATCTTAGGCTGCTGTAGAAGCTTGGGGATCATGCCTAAGATTGGAGATGCGGAGATGGGGTGTCGACGTTGTGATCGTCGAGACCGGGGAATACATCTCCGGTAATGCATGGCTGAAGGATAACACCGCGCTGCTCGAACAAGCCAGAGACATGTGGACTCAACTGGATCCTCAAACTCGCAAGGAATACGGTCAGGAGCTATTTCAGACAGAAATGCTGGCTCTGGAAAAGTACACTCAGGGACCTGAGGCTGATTTAACAGGTGTCACGAGAACCCTAATGGACGCTGTAGTAAAGACTTTCCCAATGCGGTGGTACACACCTGTGACACGCAGTGAAAGAATACAGGCATTGTGCAATCATTACCTGCCAAAACCGATCTACGATATATTGTATACAAATTGAATATATCTCTTGTATGATACATACTGACAATCAGAATGCGATTAGGAAGATACATATTCTTTGGATAGACATTATATAAAAGAATAAATCTTAGATAAAACAGAGAAGCAAGAATCTTTTTTAGTAGATCATATATCATTTGAAGCACTGCCTATGCAAAACAGCCGCGCAGAAAGATATTGTACAAATTTAATAAAATTACTTTATCAAATTATGAAACTTACACTCTTCATGAAGCTCTGATTTTCAAGGCCCCCAAATAAAAACAAAGGACACTTTTTTTTTTAAATTCTAGTCTATTGGATTTTAACCTGATTGAGTATAAATACACAATTCATGTTTTGTGTCCCTCAATATTTTTAGAATTAGTATGTCAGGGATATATTTTAAAAATAAATAATTTAATGATTTTAAATAAATATTTTAAAAACAATTTTAAAGATACAACATATGCAAAGTTTAAATTATAGCGTTATATAGCAAAATTAGATAACCGAAAGATCTACAATTATGACGTGCTAATTTGGATAACAACTTTCGATCTTTGTATAGACATCAAAAAAAGGATTTCTATATTCTCATATTTACATATTTAAATTACATCAATTATCACTGCTTTCCATTTGATGACACAAATTGACACAAGCATCGTTCTATCCTTCTTGACATTCAGAGAGTGACAAAGATAGAACGATACTTGTTGACTTGTGTCGACTAGTCTCCAAAAGGAAAACAGCCTACATATTCCTATATTCATCATGTCTTCGATAATTATGGAGGCGGACGACCTCACCGATTTTAATGAAATTAGGCTCATTCGACGCGTTTTTGCACAAAACGAAAGAATCTGGCAGAAAAAAGCGTCGTTCTACCCCACGAACTAAGATATTAAACATTATCCACACATACTTATAGCGCTCACATCGAGTCGGTACGACAGATTTTCTAACCTGAATAGTCGTGAACTTTAACGCTTAATATTTCGGTTCGCGGGGCAGAGCGACGCTTTTTTCTACCAGATTCTTTCGTTTTATGCAAAAACGCGTCGAATGAGCCTAATTTCATTAAAATCAGTGAGATCGCCCACCTCCTTCATAATTACCTTATTTTTGCAAAAACAGAGAAAAACTTAAGAGAGATCCCGGTGTTTTCGCAAACGCTCGGATTGCTCGGAGGAAGCCGCTGTACATTAGCGACATCAACATCAATTTTATAAGTTGATCAACTTTGTATCACATTTTCGACACTGTTGATAAAATCGTAATGTCGATAAATAGATAACAGTAAATTCCAGGCATGGCCGCTCGGCGTTTTTACTGTTCTCTTCTCTGTTTCTAGCTCCTATAGACCATAGGGGGCGACTCTGATGAATTTCACGAATGCAAGGTGCAAGAAATTGAAGGAAAACGAGACGTCTACAAGAAACGCTTGTTCTTCCTTTTCTTCCAGAGTTCCCGCGAAATCTTTTGGAGGTGTGTCGGAATATTCGCGCGTCTCGTTGCAAATTATCGACTCGAGGCTATCCAGGAATCTCTGGAAAGCTCATTTCCAACCCAAACGCTACACGGTGTGCATCGTCAATGGTCGCGACGCCTGTCAATCGGTCGGGCTTACCGTAACTTTAATCGCGACTTTTGTCACCTCTAAACGTTTCCGAGATCAGCGACTGGCGAGTGCTACTCACGACAACGTCTACGTCAGGAATACTTCACGGAGACCTTTGGATGAAGTTTTTTCCCCGTTCAAGTGTCGTAATACAAAATGGCACTGCCAGCGAATTACAAGCAAGTCGCGATGGCTACATCGAACATCGTAGCCTCCAACCGTAAGTCAAACAATTTTTGTTCTCTTCCCGACTTGAAATTGATAGTTTAACTTTGAAGCATTTGAATTGTATATTTGTTATTTGCAGAACGTATGAGAGCATCTGGTGGAAGTTCGAGCAGTTCGACAAATAGTGTAAGTAGACAAACTTATGATGAAATATACTTTTATGAGTCTTAAGTTTAATCGAAGCAATCTGTTTATATTTAGAAAGATACGCAGAGCCCATTTGTACAAACTCCCCATAGTCATCCAGGATTCACGCCCCAGAAAGTTGGAAAGAACACTAATGTATGTATCTCGCTTTATATAAAATTTAAAAATATACATATACGACTGTGATAGATTATACAAAATATATCAGTATGTTAATTTACATTATTAATAAGATTGATTATTTGTAAAGTCTGATAATTTTTATAATTAGGCTGACTCCCGTATGCCAAAACCACCCAAGCCACCAGAAAAACCTCTTATGCCATACATGAGATACAGCAGAAAGGTATGGGATCAAGTTAAAGCTCAGAATCCTGAGTTAAAGCTATGGGAGATTGGTAAGATTAT